ACATGATATATATATATATATATATATATATATATATATATTACATTCATAACCATTTAAAAATAGTATATGGTGAAGATTATTGCTTAAATAATGGTGTGTTATTACCAATATTATAAGTCAATATAAAAATAACCGTTGCACGTTTATTTAGACAACATTTACAAAATTGTAACTTAAATTTAGTCTAAATTGTTGTCTATATTATCTCATAGACAACCTTAAAATTTTTTTTCCTAATGTCACTAGCAATGGTCATAAAAGTGTTGCCTATAAAAAAAGCCTACATTTCTAAAACCGTTCTTTAAAAATTTATAGTGTTGCCTTAAATAAAAAAAAAACCGTTGCTAATGAAGACCATGAAAACCGTTCCAGGAAGTTTAGGTAACGGTTTTTTTTGACATCGTGGGCATAGTCCAAAAAACCGTTGCTTATTAGAATAGGCAACGGTTGATAAATCCACGCTTGACAAACCGTTGCCAAACCGTTCCCTAAACTTTCAGGAACGGTTTTTTAGCTTTCAACAACGATTTTTTATTGTTGTCATAGACAACAAATGTTGTAGTGCTCCCAGATCATCATTCTTACAAATTATTAGCATATTTCTAATCCTCGATACATATACAGTCTAATGAGATCATCAATTTCTCAAACAGAAATAATTATAAAATTACCCCTAATCCTACGGGGTTCCTCCTCTACCCAATTTTCTCATGTAACTCTACACATAAATAATTTCCTTTTCCTCGTACCTTGATATGTAGAAGCTGAACCTACACAAGATCTGGTTGGTCTCCCTCGTTGGGTTCCCCTCGGTCTAAAGCAAAAAGTAGAGGGAAAGAATAGAGATTAGAAGAAAAGAAATCAGAAAATGAGAGGTATGTTTTTTGGGAGTGGCAGAGAGCTCAATTTATAGGCATTAGGCTTCGCCGAAACGGCCCGTTCCAAATCTGGAACGACCCGTTCTCAAACTAGAATGGCCCGTTCTGGGGTGCATTTAATACTCACAACGGTCATATTTTGGAACGGCCCGTTCTCAACTCTGGAACGGCCCGTTCTCAATTAGGTGAAAAGGTCATTTCTGAAAACCGGAGCGTTTCGTTCCCAACTAAGAATCGTAGGCAAATTTAATAGTTTGGAACGGCCCGTTCCGAGCTACCAAAAGTAGGTCTATTTAGTAATTTGGAACGGCCCGTTCCGGGCTACTAAACCACCTTAATTGGGCTCTTGGCCTAGTGAAAATTGGGCTGTTACAGCTAGGCTTAGTTTAGGATTTCATTATTGTTATTTTGTTTTGGAAAAACTCATGTTTCATTTTCTTATAAATTCTGCATTTGACCATGATTGAAGTTTACGAATGTGATTTCTCTACTTTTATGTTAGTGGAACCATCACTACTAGAAAAGCACTCTTTAACATCGCTATATTTACATCAGTTATACTAGAACCGATGTAAATTATAAACGCGGTGGCAAACTTGTAAATAAAAAGAAAATGCAAACATATTTACATCGGTTTGGAAAAGAACGATGTAAATATGAGTAATTTTATATCGGTTTTAATATTGACCGATGTAGAAATTAAAACCCTAATACGTGCCCCACGATACCCTTCACACCCCCTTCCCCACCTCTCCCCACACCATTCCTCATCTCCCAACCCCACACCCCTTCCCTCCTCGTCGTCGCCCTCTCCGCCCCCTCCCTCGCCCTCTTCTGCCGCCTCCACCACTCCACCCCCGCCACCTCCCTCCTCCTCCTTCCTCAAGCCGCTCGTCGAGGCGCTCTTCACGGAGCAGGGGCCGAGCTCGCAGGTTGCATTCGCGCTCTGCATCGTCGTGGCTCCAAATCCAGACGCGCCCAGGCTCGCCAGGCTGCTCCCGAGGTTCGAGAAGCTTCTCAAGAGCAAGGTGTTTAGGGCCAAGCTGGCGCCATTATTCAAACTCTGAAAGTGAGCTTCGTTACTAAGCAAACTCAACACCGCACCACTCTTCGAACTCTGAAAGTGAAAATGTCTTTCTCGCCTTCGCCTTCAAAATCTCGTTGTCCTCAAATTCCCACTAATTGCATTATTCTGTGCTTTAAATTTTGTAGGGTGAAGTGGGATTTTGCGATGTCATAGAAAGGGGGAAAGGGCGCTTCACTGTTAAGCAAAGGGGGTATGTGTTCGTTTTATGTCTTGCCCTGCATGTAAAGTTTCGATTTTTTCCCCTTGTTTGCTTTTGGGTATTTTATTTTCTCTTGTTGGGTATGAATTTTCTGTGAGATTAGTCTGTTGGGTAAGCATGCACAAATACAGGGTTGGGTTTTGAGTCTTTTGACCTATGGGGTTGTTGTTGATGTTGGGTTTTTCTCTGTTGTCAGATATGAGATGTTGCACCTGATTTATTTATTTATTTTTATTGAAAGGTGTTTGTGCCCCCACCCCTTTTGTTGAAATTCCTTTGTTTTTGGTATATTATCCTTGTCCTTTCCTTTGATAACATAACATGTGTGTTTGTGGTGGGTGGCAATATTCTAAACCAGTTTTGATTTAAGCATTTGATTGTTCATTTTTTTTTCTTCTATTTTTTCTTGGTAGGATCTCTAAAAGGGAAAGATGACAGTGCAACAAAATCATCAAAGGGAAGGAAGGTTCAGTTTTCTAAAGAAGGTTAGCTTCTTTATTCTATTAGCTTCGTACTGCTTGTCAGTGGAGTATGCAAGTACTAGAGCTTCTATGTGATGCGGTTGTCACTCAATCTACTGATCTTGTTTACAACAAGTTTTTCAATAACCTTATTGAAATTATTGCTTGGTTGTCTATTACATGTGCATTTGAATCTGGAATAAGTAGTTCACTTACTTCACTAAAATCTGGTGGAAAAGGTGAGTGTAATTCCCAAAGTTCTTATTGTCTTTTTATCTGTTTGGTAACATTGCATTTGAGCATATCTCCATTACAATCTTTAAATCAATTGTTCATTATTATTTTTAGTTATGTTCCTTTTTACTGGACTATTTTTTTAATTTATTTTCATGGTGACTTTATTAAAGGAGGAAAGGTTGCAAATGGTGGAAAAAGTTCTCAGTCAAAAGACCCGCATTCATCAAATCAAAGAGTTGGGAAAAGTTGGTGCCTGTCTCCATTATCTTTTATATGTTTTTTCTTTTATATTTTGTAAATCATGTTATTATTTTGTGCTTGTATGTCTCACATTGGGATTTAGAGTCTGTTTGAATAAACTTATTCAGAAGCACTTGTAGAAAAAAAAATAAGAAGAAAAATTGAAATAAGTCTCTCCATAAGATAAAGCTAGTTTATGCATAATAAGGTGAAAAAAAGATTTTGGGAAGTTAATAAGAGAACTTCTACAGATTAACTTATGGCATAAGTTAATTTTAGCTCATAGAGAATTTACAAACTCAATGTCATGGGAGAAAATTGAGGCACAAGTGTTTCTATTTTTGTCTAGTCTATCAGCAACTTCAAGGATCCGTTGTCGACAGATTATGTTTCAGAGGCGCATTTCCTCTGGTGTTTCATTTGGTATTATTTTCTTTCTTTTTTTCTTTGTTTTTAGAAATATATTTCTTTCTTTCATGTTTCCTTTTATTTTTCTGCTTCCACTTTTAGAGCAAAGTTACATCATTTTGATTGGTATTCCTTGATTCTTTACAAATTCGATTATAGGTCCGTGCAATTATCTCTTTAAAGTAATGCTGCTACTTTTTTAGTTATGGACCACAGTAATAATAGTCTATATATAATTACATATAGGAAAGAAACCCTTCAGACTTGCTCTATGTGTTTCTTGTTCATCTGCATCAACTCATTATTAAATTTATAACAAGTAATGATAGATTTTAGTGGCTCTTAAGAATTTTAAATGTGTTAATTAAGTTACATATAATATCTTTTCTCTTGATTGTGCAAACTCTCTTTTCCATTCTTACGTTCTAAATCTTAAATCCTTCATATTTCTTCTGTTTCACTAATGCAGTTTATAACTTCAGTTCTGCACCTTCTTCATCTCAATTAGTTATTCTTAACAAAGATTCATTTTTTTTAAACGAATCTAGAACTGGGTTGTTTCACAACGTCTTACTCAAACTAAAGATTCGTTTTTTATTGGATCCCACTTGTGTGATTTTGCTTCACTCAAATATTTTCTTTCATTTTTTGCGTGCAGAAAGGTAAAAGAAAAAAAAGAGAGAAAGAGAGAGACAGAAAACATGACTATCACAGGTTCTGGTTCCGGACAACCACAATTCATTTCCAGCACTGGGAACCGAAGCCTTTCCAATACGCCACTCATTGAGAACTCAGATACTAATCAAATTATTGTGCTTGATGTGAGTCTCGGTTCTCATTGATTTCCTTTTTCTTTTTAATAGTCTATTTGAGTTTTTGGTTGGTTTTGCTATAGTAAAATTGATGAGTACAACACTGCTTTAACTTGCCATCTGTGTTTAAGATTAAAGATTAATTCTGTTTTTGTGTGCTGAATCAAGAAGTCATGCCTACAATTGGAATTTGTCGTGGTAAATAGAAAAATATAACAAGGGGCTGAAAATTTCAGTTGGTGTTAGAGATGACCAAGGAATTCCATGTGTTTGTTTGTTGTATTCTCATTTCACATTTGAGTTACAGTTCTATTGAGTATTGACAATGAAGTACTGGCTAGAGTGTATGGTAGAAAACAAAAGAGATCAATGACTGATATGAATTGAAGAACACTCCTAACCAACAACCTGCTTAGAGACATCATCATTTTTCATTTGGCATTTTATGAAATGAAAAGAATATTAGGATTATTGATTATAACCAATGACTCTCTTTTTTTAACATTTAATTTTTCAATCAGCCATTTTTTTACCATTTTATTACCATCAGTCCTTGGGGATGGTTTTAAGAAGTAGTTTAAGGAAGTGATGCAATTTCACCTTCCTTTTGTTTCCACCACTCATTTGAGCTACATATTGGTGAAAGAAAATGCTGGTCAGGGTTAATTCGTTTTCAATCCTAACTAATTTTTAGGACTAGGCTTATTCGTTTTCAATGATTGCAAAATTTCTGAGTGCTAAAATTTCTTTTATTATGTTGAATTCCTGTGTTGTCTTGTACAGATTTTGGTATTAGTTTTTGCATTTCTCGTCATTGTTTGCATTGTGATCGAACACTTTTGTTCCTTGGATGCTGAGATAATATTTGTAACGGGTAATTTTAAATTTTCAACGTAACTAAACCTTTCAAATGCCCAGCTTTAATCCTTTGTCACACTCATTTTGGAAATCAAGTTGATTTTCAGCATTGCCAATGCCACCTTATCTTTGTTTGTAACTACCAAAGCAAAAAATGTTTCCATGTGCCAATGTAAATCTCCACCTAACACCACTGATTACCTTCACAAATTAGAGGACCAATAATTAGAGGCATATGAAGTCTTCACCTATTTTCTTGATAACCCAGCAATTTCCTTTCCTAAAGACATAATAATAGTACTGTTGGAAACAATTATTTGTGTAGCACTTATACTGGCCTAGTTTCCAATAGGAAGTATTTGAGAAATAGATGTAGGATGTATCCCTGCACTCCCTTGAGCAGCCTTTAATAAATATCTTCTAGTTGTTTCCTATTAAAACTTTTCCTTTCTTTGTTTTTATATATCTATAATTTTGATTATGAATTTGCAAAAATATTAAAGTTTATGGATCATGTCTTAACAGATCAATACATCAGATTGTCGAAAGGGGGCTGTTGTCAAGCAAAATCTTGGAGTGGCTCTTAAATCACATGCAGTGAAAAGGTTTATTCATTTGTACTTTCAATGCTTATTATTTATTAAGAATCGTTGTGACTGAAATGATATGTTGCTGTGTTATTTTATCTGACCAAACTTTACCTTATACATGTGCTTTCACTTTCCTTCAATATTTTTTTGACTTATTTGACTGTTACTTTTGTTTTAGAAAGAGCATTTCTTCTTTCACATATAATCAGCACTTCTTTAAAATTTACATGGGAATATGGATGCCCTGGAGGAAATACCATAGACTAAATAAACTATATGCTGAATAGATAAAAGCATTGTGTGATTCTTTGTTATCTTTATATTAGTAGATTGATTTTTTCAACCTCTAGTAGGGTGATTATCCAATTAAAGAGAGAAAATAAAATTTGATTGAAAAAACAAAAGATACATTTTTACAGCTGTCAAAGCAAAATCATGCATTTTACAGCTGATGATCTCAGAAATAACTATAAACCAGCATGAATAAAAAATATAAAGAAAAAAATGATACATTATGTAATGAAATATAATATTAAATCATATTTGCATAACAATTTTTTATGAGAATTTGAACCAATCCTACTATAACTACATCACACCAAGTCTGATAACATGTAAATCTAATAAGAGCTAGAAGCTTAGATTAGGCACATGTTCTGAAATTTTAATGTGACAGGGATGCACTAAGATAAATTTTAAAAACAATAACACTTATATGATATAGATTCCTTTTTAGAGCTACTATTTACAGGTTTCTAAGAAACACTAAAACTGTTTTTTTTTTAATTATTATTCCTGTTTATTTCCCAAAAATTATCCAATTAGCATAAAATTTTTGAAGTTATTAATTAAATTTTTTTTCCTAAGCTTAAACAAACAGGCCTTAAATTATTCTTTTTCAGGAATATGAAAACAATAAAAATCCTGACTAAGCACCTCAGATAGTCTTTCCCTATTTTAGGATGACCAATTTACTTATTAGTCAATTACTTCATGTAATTTCCTATATAAAAAGAGGAATCCCTGTACAGTTAATCAATCAATAATATTCCCCTTATTTCAACTTACATGCATCATTGATCGCAATTAACCAATTTAAAACCTTGGTTATATTTTAATTTGTTTTTCGCTTGTAATTTTGGTATATAGAACTCAACTACTCAAGTGTAAACTGCTAAGTGGCTTTCGTTTCAAATTGTTTGTATTATCACTTTCCGTGTACTCAACCAAGCATGTTGATATCACTGTCAGTGTAGAGCTGGTGTTACTATGTTGTGAGAATGTGATGCTTTTTTGTTTAGGTTATCCGGATTTTGGCAAATCATCCACAATTTGGAATTGCATTAATGACTGCTGATAGGAAAGCTGGGTAGCCAATCATCCACAATTTCGAATTGCATTAATTACTTGATTTTAATTATTATTTTTGTACATCATTTTACATCGATTGTGGAAAGAACCGATGTAAATTGGTGTCAAAATTTACATCAGTTATACAAGGAACCGATGTAAATTTGTACATCATTTTACATCGGTTGTGGAAAGAACTGATGTAAATTGGTGTACAAAATTACATCGGTTTTAAAACCGATGTAAAATGGTTTGCACTTATTACGTCACTCTATTCTACATCGGTTTTAGAACCGATGTAGATAGTGTTAAAGAACCGATGTAGATAGTGTTAAAGAACCGATGTAAAATGCGTGTGTTGTAGTAGTGCATTGCTTTAATTCTAAAGATTTTATTTAACCCAAGAAGATGTTTTTATAATTACTATATATGTATGTTGGGATAGAAGGTGTCACAATGGATATATAATATATATACACCACTGTGCATAAAAAGTGGCCTAACATGCCACAATATAAATAAGGATCTACAAAATAAACTATTCCACTAGGGGTAGTCAACAAAATATAACTCTCCAGCTCCTACCACCAAGTGGCCTCAAACAGTTATCTCCTAGCCTATCCCTGCTCTACTCCCATACATCGTATGATCATCGTAATTCAAATCACATGAAAACATGCAAGGGTAAGCTAGTGAAAATAAACAACACATAAATAACACACATCTCAACATCACTTTCACAACACATAAACACATACAACTCATATCACCATAATATCAACTCATCAACACATATGCGTCGTCACATATTTCAACTCGAAGATCTCCTACAACACAGGGTGATCAGTTTAAGTGGCTAGGTCCTATCGAATCGACAACACAGAACCTTTTTAGACTTGCTAGATAAACAAAAAATTTGGATAAAAATCCACAACACGATAATGATTTCTCAGACTTTGTCACTTAAACAAGGAAGTATGGTACTATGTTATCATAGGACAACTGGGTCTAGGCCTACCATGGCATTGGCTAGCTCAACTAAGACACATATGAGATTAGCCTACTAACTATCCTCCAAATACTACAACCCTCCAATACTTGGTTAGGAACGAAGTTCCCAACTTTGTACTTTACTCGAATTGGCCGCTTGTAATCGGTATAGCTCGACCTGACCCCTATACCATGGTCGCTTCATACACGTGTGCCTCGACCTTGCCCACACACGGGACCAACTAAGTCCTACAGGAGAATAACACATCATCCACTCCAAGGAGAAACTTCCCAAGGAGGGTTTTTCAACAAATTGGACTCTTAGAGCATCACAACTATCTCAATGTACACAATGGGATGAACAACTTTGCAAACATCTCCTCCAGTCCTAGTGATCAACAACTCATTATCACAGCACAATCAACACAGTTTTCAACTCATCATCTCAACCATCTTTCAACTTGAGTAACACAGTCAATTCACAACTTTAACAACACATTTTATCAACACAACAACTCATTCGACTCATATAACATCTCTACACAACTACAACTAGGGTTCAACATGCAATTCTCAACTCACAACTATATTTTTTCATCATATTACAACATTCATCATTTTTCAACATTTTATTTTCATCACATAATATAACTCACTTATCAAACCGACTTACACATATAAACAACATACATCAACCTAAGCACCCAAAACAACTTTTAACTTAACCAAATCACTTGGTGTAAAATGGAAACCTTTACATAAAGCAGCATAAATGAAATTATACTGCTCTTATCATTCTCATCCTTAGCTCAAATGAAAGATAATAAAATTTTCTACAACTCTCATGAAGACATTGAGTCCTAATTTTATTATCTACCTTGTTAAAAAAATGTAAAAACTGCAACATCTAGCCTAATTCTTGACAACTTGACCTTTTCACACTAAAAAGGTCATAATTGGAGTTCTAGACCTCTTTTTTGGGTGATTCTGGTGCCATTGGAAAGATAACATCCAAGGTTACAACTTTTATGAAGAAATCAAGACTAAATTAGGTCATCTACCTTCATCTCTACAGGGCTCAAATCAGCACTTTAGTGTTAGATTTTTGCCAGCTCAATTTCCTTTCCATGGCTATGGCCATGAACCACAACCATGATTGTAGGTTTCTGCCACCACATTTTGTTTTCCAAGGCCATGGATGTGAACCACAACCATGGATACAAGTCTCTGCCAATTCATTTTTCCCACGACCATGGCTATGAACCATGACCATGGCTGTAGATCTTAAAATTTTCTACAATTTCATGGATTTCACCCTCGATATCCTCTCCTTCTCTTCACCAATCTTCCCCCTAAACATGATCTACACCTATGATTACTACCATACTCATTCAAGCAACCCAGAAACAACAAAATTTTTGACATGCATGCATCAAACTCCATGATCACCCATTTTTACCCAACTCATTCAAGAACATCATAACCCCAACAACATGCAACCCACCCAACTCAACTACTCAGCCCCCAAATCACACCCTAGATGATGATCCAACTACATGCAATTCAAAATGTATAACAATTTCGAGTTCTATCTTCCCTTACCTCAAAATGGAGTGAACGATGAACTCCGAGTTACTCCGAGGTTGAAGAAGAAGAAGAATGAGAAGAAGAAGGAGATGGAATGAGAATCAACTCTGAACTTCAAAGCTCCCTAGCACACCAATTACTCAGCAATCTTGAGAATTAACAAGAAAATGAATGAGATTTGGAGAAGGAAATGAGAAAAAGAGAGGGAAGGACCGAAGGAGGCTTGTGGGTCTCACATTCTCCTTTTTTGATGTTACCTTTTTTTTTCCCTCATATGTAACAAAATAATAAGATTATTTTTAAATAAAATTAAAATATAGTTAAAAAAAATTAAGTATATAAATAAAGATAAAAAATAATTTAAGATAATTAAAAAATATTTTTTTTCCTGATTGCTAAAAGTTATATGAAATATATCTTCTTATTACAAGAGTGTTGAGAAAATATATTATTTTTCTAAAAATAAAATCTTACTACATTTAATTGCAACCTAATTTTTCTCGATTAAAAGTAATTTTATTTTAATAACTACAAGTTTGAATAAATTTCTAAATAAAAAATAAAAACACTTTTAGAAAGGAAATTATAAATTAAAATTAACTTAAATATAAATTACTTTATAGAAATTCTATTTTATTAGTTTCCCTAAAATCTTATTTTTTAAATTATACATATAAATTAATTTATTTTTCTATTTTCTTTTTACCTTAAAATACTTTTCATAAGTTTTTCAAAATACTCATAAACAGTTGATGAGACTCTGAATGACATTCATGTATCAATCAACCGAACGAGTTCATTCAGACATTCAAACAACAGATTCTCGTTCAGGAACAATGCCTAGATTCTGTATCTATTAACATATTCAGTAGTATCTTTTCAAAGCTACAGCTAAAGCCAACAGACACATCCATTTCTATTTTCCACCACTTACCAATGGAAACCAATCACTTTAATCCCCTGTGCTCAGTTTTTGAGACCTAAAGCTGCTAGCAACATTCTCTACAATCAAAAGTCAGATAAAGATTCAAAGCTATTCCCTTTAAACCATCATGATTTTGTACATCTTAGCAAAACAACCATCAAAACTGTGCCTTTCTCCCATGCTGGTGACCTAGACAGCTAAAGTGTACATTTTAAACATCATTCTCAAAACATACTTCTCTTTCTTCAAAAGGGCTTTCTGTAGAGTATCTTGATTTAGACCCTGAAGCAGTACCAAGACCCTCAAGTAATGTCATCACATCTACCGTGTCATCTAGGTAGTATCTAGCTTTGCTTGGTTTTTGTCCAACAGTGCATGCAAAGATTTCTGGCACTGATGAGGAGGAAGCACTATAAGGTTTGGTTAATATGCTCTCAAACATATCCTCATCAGATCTATCATCACCAATGCACAGTACAAAATCCGGGGATTTATCCCTCTTGGTTAGGGTAGAAAGAACTTCCTGTGCAACTGACCCTTTAGTAATGCCCTGTAAGGTTGATTAGTCACTTAGTTTTTGAGAACAACAATAGGTTGAGTTGTGATGTGAAGAGTTGAGTTAGTATATACCTGCGGTTTGACTTCAATAATGTGTTGTCCCTTTTTGACAACTACAGGCTCATTTGCAAGTACATTTTCAAGGTGATCCAACAACTCCATGGCTTGCCAAGATCCAAAATCAGGATCGGCATCGTGGTAATGCCATACCAAGGCACTCTCTTTGGTCTCTACAGAGGAGCCATCTGTGGCCTCCATGTAAGATTTCATCACAGGTTCAGCAATCCTTTTCCATGCAAAATCTGTATCTGTATGACTCATTTGCCAATTGGTATCTTTACCCCACCTATGGTTGATCAAACAAAAATACAGTATAAAGAACTTGTTAGTAACATGACAACAGCTATTATACCATAAGGAGCAGAAATACTCACATAAACAAACATGAACTAAAAGGAGAGAATTCAAATTTACTCGGTACAGAAAAGATCAAACAAAAATACCATCAGTAACAAGATAACCTCTTTACCATAAGAAGCAAAAACTCCCACATAAACATGTACTAAAATATAAATTCAAATTTTCACAGTACAGAACATTATAAGTCAATGCTGTTAAACCACAATCTATTCATTTTCACCTTTCCTTTGTTTTTCTTTTCAGGGGTATATTCAGGTATATTTGAAGTTATTAAAGGGATATTATCATTAAAAATTGAATTGCACATAACCAACTATAAAAATACTAACCTTATGAAATAACCATGCTCAGCTGCAATTCCAAGATTCTCACACTGATCAAACCATTCACTCAGTGAGGGTTTTCCCCTGCCACTAACAATAAACACAGTGTTGTTAAGATCACTGCAGAGATTATTTAGCACAGATATGACTTCAGGACTGGGGGGTTTAGCAATGGAAGCTTGAGGCACAATGGTACCATCATAATCCAAAAAGATTGCCCTGCAACTGCTCCTCTTATATGCAGGGACAATGTGTTCTATAGATAGCTTCCTGAAAGTAGGAGAGAGGGACAGAATTCTGAAATTCAGGCCAAAGCCAATGCCCCAGCAACGTTTCCTATGTTGATCCTTGCATGAGAGCACTAGATCTTGCTCAAAGCTTCTGGCCCAGTAGGCCACATCATGAGAACTAACATATCGATAGTGCTTCTCGTGTCGAAACTGCTTCTCTCTATCAGGCATTGTGACTGCCAAATTTAGTGCTTCAGCTACTGCATCAATATCCCAAGGGTTTACCCTGATTGCCCCACTAAGAGATGGTGAGCAACCTATGAACTCAGAGATGACAAGTGCACTTGAACGTGGGGAATCAGAACCAATTTCTAAGATTTCATCCATTTTAGAACTTCCCTGCCTACAAACAGTGTATTTGTATGGAACCAAATTCAAACCATCACGCACTGCATTCACAATGCAACATTCTGCCAAAGAATAATAAGCTGCTTTCTCATAGAAAGGAACATGGCTATCAATGATGATGATGGGTTCATAACCTTCCAAGCCAAACCTTTCATTTATCTTTTTGGCAGTAATGTAGGTCTCCTCCCTTGCATCGTCAACATCTTTGTGAGCACTACTTGGGGGGTTTAAAATTTGGATCAGTATTATTTCACCTTGCAGTTCTGGATATTGCTGCAGGAGCTGCTCTATGGCTAAGAATTTTAAACTAACACCTTTGAATACATCCATATCATCAACACCAACAATAAGCTTTTTCCCCTTAAATTGTTGGTGAATTTCTCTGACTTTGATAGATGAGGAAGGGTGATCTAAGGCAGATTGAAGTCGACCCATGTGAATCCCAGCAGGCAATATTTTAATCAATATTGTACGGCCAAAGTATTCAAGCCCAATGTAACCCCTTTTGGATTCGTGTTCCAAGCCAAGCATTCGCCGGCAGCAGGAGAGAAAATGGCGAGCATAATCAAAGGTGTGAAAACCAACTAAATCTGCATTAAGCAGTGCTTTCAAAATTTCACCTCTGACAGGCAAAGTTTTGTAAATTTCTGATGAAGGAAAGGGGCTGTGGAGGAAGAACCCAAGCCTGACTCGATTACACCGCTTTCGCAGAAATGTAGGAAGGACCATAAGATGATAATCATGAACCCATACATAATCATCTTCTGGATTAAGGACCTCCATCACTTTATCTGCAAATATCTTGTTAGCGGAAACATAAGCCTGCCACTGCAACCTATCAAAGCGGCGATTGCCTGGATACATGGGCAACCTGTAATGGAATAGAGGCCACAATTGTTGTTTGCAGAATCCATCATGGAATTGTTTGTATAGTTCTGAAGGAATAAAAGTAGGCAAGCAATTGAATTCCTCCATCAACTGAAGGGAAACTTTCTCTTGCTCTCTTGAATCAATATCAACATTCAGAGATCCCACATAAACAACATCAGCATCAGGAGAGAGACCATCCTTTAACTGCCAAAAAATTGAATCCTCGTCATAGCTGAAGGACCATCTGCCAGATACTTTATCCCTTTTTGCATTGAGAGGAAGAGAATTTGATACTATAATTATCTTGCGACGTTGTTCTGATGAGAAAATACTTGAACCATCATCATCATTACTTTGTTTACCATCTCCATCAGACATGATTACTGGATCAGTCATAACTCGCGGAAGAGATCTGGGAGTTTGAGGGGCATTTAGCATATCCCCTGATACCAGGTCCAACAAATTCAAGCATGATCTTGCCACCATCTTTACTTAAATTCCTAGTTTTTGAAGATATTTTGATGTGTTGTATTATCTAGTAACGGGTATCCACAACTTGAAGATCTTGAATAATTAACCCAAAGAAATGCAGGAACCTGTGAAGATAAAAGAGAAAAAGTTATCATCACTATACAATGCAGCATTATAGGACACATACATAACTCAGTCATTCTCCACAAATTCAATTGTTCAGTAAATTTAATATTGCTTGATAATCACTGCTTTCAGTATAAGTGTTTACACCATGGATTGATTGTTTAAAGCAGAAAACAAATTAATTTTATTCAGATGATGGGATAAGCACTTGCAAATTAATATTTACTATGGTTACATCATTGATTGTCGAAATTAGAAGTTCAACAAGTGACAAAATCAATGATGCTACAAATACATAAGGCTGCATTTAAACACAGTAATACAGTTGCAAATTCTTCAACCATTTTTCAGTAATTAGCAAGCATTTAATTTAGTGAAAGAAATAAGTAAGTAACCATTTATACATTACACAAGAAATAGAAAACATCAACTTAATTCCCAGTTAATAGTTAGAGGAATCAAGTTGTAAATGTATGTCAGCATCAAAAGTTAAAGAATGAGAAAACAAGGCTCAGATAACTACCATCACTAGATTGTGTCAATACTAATGATTTTGGGTTCAGGACATACTGGTTACTGGTTAGGAGGTACCAATAAAACAGCTGGCTATCTCAGCCTCTCTATATCCTCTAGAGGATGGTCAGAAGATCATATCTCTCCAAACCAGCTACTATGGATCATATCTCTCCAACTGCAAATATGGTCTTATGGAATAAAATTCCTCTGCATCCCTAATGCACTGAATTCACCAAATTTTAGGGTTATATGTCAGGATTATATGATGATCACCCTCTTCTTCATTTGATCAGGTACCCATCTGCTATATAAACAGGGTTAACCCCTTCTCGTGTGAGAATTCTTTCCCTCAAGTACTTGCTATTGGTGCCACCTTGAATGTCCAAGTGGCTTATGTAGATAAATCCCCTCTTGGTCACATTATGCCCTTGCACCAAGAGCATTAGAACCCATAACTATTCTTCCTATAGTTGGGTATGCCCCTTCCTGGTTCTGGAATGAAAATTTATGATAATGATCTTTTCAATTATAATTTTTCTTTTAAACTATCCAATCAATAAATTGGATTATCTCTTTTAGGAAAAAGGAAGAAAATCATAGATATCACAAAAATGGAGTTGCTGGGTCCAACACTAGATTTCTTGGATTCAACCAAAAATCCATAAAATCAAGCTAAAACTAAAAAGTGTGAAAGATTAAATTGCATATAAGAAAAACCACACATTTACCTAGATTTATCTCAAATTCATGTAGTTAATCTCGTGAATCATGAATGTCCCTTCAAATCCGATCTTTAATCGCCCAATTCTGCACAAACACAGTCAGATTTAATCAGAAACACAAACAAACTTAAAAGCAAAAAGGTATTCACAATCAAAAAGCATATAGAAAACACCCTCAAGTACATCTAGATTAGACTTTCACTTATTAACACCACTGTTCAATCACTAGCCTTTCATGCGATTCCACTTTACCTATCAAACAAAGCCTGTGAATGAAAAGGAATTTCACTTAAGAACAGCTAGGTATAATACTTCTTACCAGACATCAACTTCTTCACTTCCTTTCAAATATATACCACCCAAATCCAGCAAAACCATTCAATAGCTTTTCTCAATTAGGAAATCAAATAAATTCACTCAAATCCTCTAAAGTTAAAATAGAAATGGACCAAAATCCAAATAAATCAGAACATGAAAATGCATCTACACAAAAAAGGTAAATTAATAAAAACAGTATCATCAAAATCAGGAAAATCGTTTGAATTAATGCAATGTGAACCGACAAAGGACAACTAATTCATCCTTACCCTATAATCCGTTGAAATCTTTTCCCCTGCAAACCATATTAGGAAATTGAAAAAAAAAACACAAACGTGATACTCGTTAATTACAGCTAAGCTTAACTATTTAGCAAGCTGTATTCGTCAAACATCATTTTATAAAAGATTTAATTTACACATCGAATTCCATTTTTTGTTTCTTTATAAAATTCTCAACAGTACCTTATTGTAAAATGCACACAGGCATCAAATTCAGCAACATGCAGCAGCATTATTACATTCATGTACATGAAACAAATACTTTCTCCCCAAGCAAACAGCTCCAAAATGCAAATAACAGAACCAATAAAGACAGAGGAGCACATGCATTTTTTATTACCTTAAAAGCATCAAACAAACACTCAATAATTGTACACAACACAAAACAGAGAGAGAAAGAGGGAGAAGAAAGAAAATCAAGTTTCAAAAACTAAATTCCCTATGATCCCTTAGGAGGCTAATAAAATGAAAACAAAGGTTCTTATCTTGGAGAGGATAATTCAAACCGAAAGCAGAACTAGTCAATGAAACCTCAAGCAGAACTAGTCAATGAAACCTCAAGCAGTCATTTTACCTTCTTCGCTGTCTCAACAACCAACAAGACCCTTTTACGAACTGAAATAACAAAAATGAGAATATACGGGTGTGAACTTGAATTATGAACAGAGCAGTAGCAAAGAATGAAAAAATTGTTAGTAGAATATGGTTTCTCGATAAATATGGGATAAGCGTGTTAGGTTCGAAGCTGGTGAGATTTTGTAGGAGTTTTACGGATTCTGAAATCTAAACCGACCGAAAAACAAAATATAATAAATAAGAGGTAACTATTAAGGTGAAAAGAATATGTTGGAAATTTTGTATCCGAGGTTCCGTTTGGTTTGAGTGCCTTTGTTTTTGTCAAATTGGAAAGTGTTTGTTCAACAAAGGATGCTGTCGGAGACAACAGATTAGAAAGTCAGAAAAGAGAAGCAAAAATAGTTGGATATAAAAAATATAATTTATTATGGAGAGAGAAACACACAGTTGGATATTGCAATCTAGGTGGTCTTACGCTGTCGCTGTGATCCTCGAGACTTTGATACCCAAAGTGCCCTTGTATTCAATTTATTTTCATGTCATTTTGTGTCAAAGCTATTAATTGTGTTCATTAGGAGAAATTCTTGAATAAATACTGATTTGTACTACAACCCTGTGCATCACGCATATTAAATATTACATAAATGTTATATATACACAAATTTTTATTGTAATGGTGTATGATTTTTAGATTATTATTTTTAAAAGATTGTAATTGATGTATGATTATCATGATTGTTCTACGCATATATAGATAAATGAAACATAAATAGCAAACTTATTTATTAAGTTTTTTTTTTTAAACGAGTGATTGATTTAAGTAAAATTATAAATTATAAATTATAACTTAATAATTTAAGATTGTAATTGAATTATAGTTTTTTTTACTGACTTTCAAGAAATATAATAGATGTGTTAATTCATTGATCATTGAAGTAATTTGATAGTTACATTTTTTATAACTTTCATAAAGACATCATGACCAAATTCGATCATTTACCTTCACCGCTGCAACACTCAAATCAGCGTTTTAGTATTAAATTTCTACTAGCTCAATTTCCTTCCTACGACTATGATCATGAACCATGGTCATAACTGTGTTCATGATCATAGCTGTAGGTTTTTGCCACTACATTTTTATTCCATGACTATGATCATGAACCACGATCATGGCTGCAAGTCTCGGCTACTTCATTTTGACCCCATGGCCATGGTCATGAATCACGGTCACGACTGCAAGTCTTAACCACTTCATTTTTACTCCATGGTCATGACCACGAACCACAACCATGACTGTAAGTTTCAAAATTTTTTGCATTTTCATGGATTTCACCTTCGATTCTCACATTCTCTTTACTAATCTTCTTTCTAACATGATTTACACCCATGATTACTATTACACTCGTTCAAGCAACCCAGAAACCACAGAAATTTTGACATGCATGGATCAAACTTCATGATCACCCATTTTTACCCAACTCATTCAAGAACACCATAACCCCAAACAACATGCAACCCACCCAACTCAACTACTCAGCCCCCAAATCACATTTTAGATGATGATTCAACTACATGCAACCCAAAATGTATAACAATTCGAGTTCTAGTTTCCTTTACTTTAGAACAGAGTGAACAATGAACTCCGAGTTATTCCGAGGTTGAAGAAGAAGAAGAAGAAAATGGAATGGGAATTCAAAACTCCCTAGCACATCAATTGCTCAACAACCTTAAGAATCAACAAGAAAATGAAAGAGATTTGAGAGAAGGAAATGAAAAAAAGAGAGGGAACGAGGATTGAGATATTAAATAAATAATTTAATTATTACAATTTTATTAAATTTTTACTTTTTATTTGTACAATCCACATAAATAGTGGTTTTAGAATTTAGTACAATTATTTTATAAATTATAAATATTAGAAGATCAACGATTAAATTGAAAAATATTTGATAAAATTTTGGTCGATAAACTAGCTTATATATCTAAAATAAACTTTTTTAATAAAAGATTTTTTATAATGAGTGCAAAAAAATGATAGGGTAAACAAAAAAATTTTAAATTAAAAATAATAAACAAATATTTTAAAAATTAATGAAGATAAAAGAAAAAACAAAAAACTTATGTTATTTTAATTAATTTATGAAAATATACTATAAATTTCTTAAATAAATTCATACATTAAAAAAAATAGTCAAACTAACTAATAATTAGTCAAATAACTGTATAAAAAATTTTAAATTACAATTTTAGTCAAACAAACACACTCAGAAATTAGGATTTTATAATCAGTACTACTAATTCTTTATCAAGAAACAGGTCTGTATATCAAAAGAAAAAACAAAATTAAATAACATAATTCTTGATTTGTTTGCGAAACTGGGTAAAAAAGACATTTCAAAAGACTTGTTAACTTCCAATATATCTTGAAAAATAATGAGAATACTTAGGAACGGATTAATGACGCTGTTAGAAGTAGATATCTTAATGACGAATTCCTAAAACTTATCATGTGAAAGTAAGTCTCCATTGTCGGATAAATAATAAGTTTTGGAAAAGCGATTCTTTGCGTTTCTTAACAATTGACTTTGAATTTAAGTTGATACATTTGTTCCGCATGTAAAATAATGAGAGTAATTGACCATGTCAGAACACCTCAATGCTAAATTATTAAAAACACGTCTAATATTTTAAAATGAATATTGAAGTGATGTGTTTCCTTCCATGCGGATAAACATAGACTTGTCCCACAAAGTCATGTCAATATTAAAATAACAAAACATAGGACTCGGTTTCCACAAGTTATAGTAGGTTGTTAGAATGTTCCTGTAGTTTATCTGCTTGACCTATTTTAATATCTCATATATATATATATATATA